TCCTCGAGAATTCGTCGGGAAATGTTGAGGGAGAATTCCTGATGGTCGATGAGAAGGATAACTCGTCCCTAAAGTGCAGTAACCTCGGCAGAAGAGTCTCGGACCCTTTCTAGCATCGCAAGAAGGTCTTATGACCCGTGCAAAATGAATGCATCCCCTGCACACAGGTTGCATCCTTTTCATCCCCGTCCGGACTTTTTCCGCCATTGAACCACCCGCTAAATCGAGCGTGCCGGTAAAACGAAATACGGAATTTCATTTGAATCTTTCGCCGTTTCGGTCTCGTCTTTCTTCCCATCCCCCTCCCCGTCACCCAATTTTTCGTTATTTATTCTGTTCTCTTCGCTGAAATAGGGAGCGGTAACGGCTTGATAAAAAAAAAAAAGAAAATATTTACACAGAGATTGCACGACGGGAACGAATCGACAGAATTCTCTCTTCTCGTGACACCGTTTCTCCCTTCTCTTCTACCTCCTCCTCCCGTCTTTTTCTTTTTTACGGTGACGAAAACGAACACAGAGCAATTAAAACGTGTGCGTATTCAATCGACGCGCTGTCGAAGAAGAATAAACGGGAGCCCGACGGGGGGATAGACAAATGTACTTCCCGATGGCAAGCGAAACGAGCGTGGGGTAGTTTCACCAGTTTCAGATGTGGAAAACGCATCCCCTCGATGAGACGATGCGGTTACGTTGGTTTCCTCCTTCCTCGCCTCCCTCTTTCGCTCTCCTTCTTCTCCATCCCTTAACCGTACTTGCGTATCCCGAACAGGTTACAAACGACGGGCACGGTATTACAAGCCGCAAATTACACCCGTGCCGCCCCCTCGCCGCCACGTGAATGTGCGAGGCCAAGACTGCTGGATTACACCCCTGGCTGCGAGAGACCTTCGCTGCCGGAATACCGCCCCCTGCCCTTCTCCAAAACGAAACGATCCGGCCTTCCGAGATAAATTAGGGAGAAGAATATTAACTGTCGTTTGCCAGACAATTATCGAGAGAACGTCTTCCGTATACGAATATACGGCCAGACGATATCTCGACTAATCATGCGAAACACTTACGCGGGAACGTATTTTAATACGTTTTGCAAGGATGAAAATTAACGATCGGTATCGTTATTCGTGAAATATTCCTCGTGAAATGGTTAACGCCAACTGTATACCAACAGTTCACTGAAAGTGTACCGCGAAGATGAACATACGCACGTATATGTCGTAATCCTGCGTGCGAAAATAGTCGTTGCTCTTCATAAATTATCGCTACTCGCTGCGAAGATCCCTTTTCTCGCGTCCGCGTCGCGAAACTTCCCGGCAAATTCATTACAGAATTACCGCCGCGGATTTCCCAAATGATGAGTTACTACGCTCCACGGCTCTACTTTAATCGCTCGGATAACATCGCCGGCATAGTCTAATACCTCGAAAGTTTGCCTCGATAATGAGGATGGATCAGGGGCCGGTTGACTTTCGTTTAGCCGGTAATTAGAGCTCGTAGAGCTCTGCATCGCCACGCAAGAAACACGGGCGTTCATCGTCGTGAGAAAGGGTTTCGTTCGTAAAGAATCGAGTTTTTTTCACTAAACGTTGCCAGGCTAGCGTGGTCGTTGGCCAAAAATTACGTTGCGAAGGAGGCGGAAAGTTTTCCGTGTAATCTCGCGCTGCGGTTTAATTTTCCGGAATTATGCGCGCGCGCGTATCTAAAATCCTCATTTTCCACCGGCGATCCTTTCCGCCCTTTTCGCTCGTAATAACGCGGCAAAGCGAAACAGCCACTCGCGATATTATACGTTGTTTCATTAATTAATTTACACCAGACGCGGCCACTGGATTACGAGATTCATCTTGCGATATATCGTAACCGCGACAAGGAGAAAAAAAAAAAAAGAAAAGAAAACGAAGGGAGGAGAGCGTGTACGTGTCAAACTTCACTTACCTCGTGTGGCTCGTGGAACGGTGGTGTAAAATTATATTATGCAAGCCAGCTACGTGCCACTCTCGCGCAGAGATGGGCAGCAACATTTCTTCTAACCGAAACGAAGAATTTCTCTCCATAGAGTTGATCTATGAATTATTTGCTCGCTCGGGACAACACGGCAAAGCCTGAACGATCTTTGAAAATTGGAACTCTCGTGCGATGAAACGCACCAGGCTTATATTTTTCGTATTTCGACCGAATGTTATGTACACGCTGTCGGGCGAGTGAATGGAAAACGATGAGAAAGATCGAGAGGCAACGGAGAACCGGAAAGTACCGCGGCGAGAGACTACAATGGTTCGAAAACAGGGAATGTGAATAATAGAAAGGGAAGATGAGGGCGAGGGGGGTGCGTCGGAGTTAGCAGACTTATACTTCGATAAAAGATAGAAGCGCGTTCGCACGCAGACGGTTCGTTTTGCGTGAGAACGAGTGTTGTTAGTCAAAAAAAAAAAGGGCCACGGTCGGGCGAAACGCACGCGAAAATTCAGCCAGACAGGGGCAGGCATTACTTTTTACGGGTGTGACACCCCAGAGACGAACCGCAGCCAAGCGTGCTTCATATTTCATACGTTGTTGCTTTCAACGCGCGTATACTTTGCGGATATGTTGGTTCTTAAAGCTTTTAAAATGAAAATAGATGCGGCACGTGTTCCTGCCACGGCAATGAATAGACAAAATACACGCGATAGTTTAGGTTGCTTGTGCAACTTTTAACACATTCTCGGCCGAAGTTGAGAACTTGAGGAACTCGGTTTTAAAGGCGGGTTTCCGCGCGGATACACAACAGACGGCGGTATAACATTATCGTCTGGCTACCGTGGCAAAACGCGGCCGTTAAACGGAAGAAAGTTCCTGTTTAGGTTTATTAAATAACGTTCCTTTTATTTTCAATATTAAGTATTTATTACATACAAGCATTTATACAATACGAAGTATTTTTAGACATGTGACTGATGATATTTAGCATTTCTCAGTATTTGTATGTTTAGAAACATTTGTTCGTATGTATTGGGATTATTATTATTGTTATTAATTATTATAGTTATTATTATTATTATGTGTCCTTATAGAATAGGTTTTAGTTAGACCGAATAGAATAGTTTAAATAAATAAACTCGATAATATAGTCATTGCATGGTTCTGCCCTTGGAAAGTTTCATGGTTGAAAATAATCCAATGGAGTAAATCGAGTCGTGGTACGTAAAATTGATTCGAATTCCCTAAACGCGCTTGAGAAGCTTAGGCAATTAAAAGTGTCTTAGGATCATATACTTCTG